GTGATGGGACAATGTGTGTAGTAGTGAGTAATTGAACTGAGTATTGTCGAGCACGAGCACGTAAGAATTATAGCGTTTGTTACAGAGCGACTGTAAAAGTTGAGTGTATCGTAAAGTTGTATTCGGAAAGAATAAACCAGTTTTATTTAAGAAAGGACTTGTGTCGCTAAAGTTTCGTCGGAACGAATTTACCGAAAATCAATTAACGAACGGAGATGTAACAATATATTCAAATATTTTACTTTGATAATACTTATAGGACATGAATTAGAAGGCTGTAAGGAGTCAGTATAAAGGTCAAATGAATAATTTACATAAAAAAAAGGCATTTTGTATGAATTATCAAATTACTTTATATTACAAGGCCTAACTCATTCCAATCATATATACGTACATATTCGTATTTATTTTAGACTTGTTCCATATCATAGTAAACATATTAAAGATTAGGTCTCAAGACTAAGCCATCAATTCTCCCCACTCCTCCAAAAAAGAAAACTAAGTTGAATTTCATTCATAGGATGTTAATTTCTCATTAACACAGGAATATCAGTAGCCATGGTATTTAATCTAAATGTATGACCCTGATGTCAAACGTTTTGTGATTTGTTGATTACCATTTTACGAATGACAAAACAATTAAGGCCTTATCCTGCTGAATTAAAATGAAAACGTCATATTATGTGGATAACTTTTAGAAGATCAACAAAAAACTAATTCATTATTGTAATTAACAATTGGCTTTTCTATTATTAAATAACAAATGTCAAAAACAACAACTATTATTTCTGAATATATTCACCAATCACAGGCATAAATTCACAAAAACAAAAGGTGTAATCTGGTGCCCAAAATCCTCACACGGCCTCAGTCCGGGCGTCAGTACTTGTAAGACACTGTAAAAGTAATACAGTAATTTTAGTTTTCCATCATGTTTCTTCTAGATTCTATGTGTTTCAACATATATAATGATATGACCGCAGCCACGACAGATTTTTCTATTTTTGTCAAAAGCCATTAAACTCTTACGATAACAATATACCGTGAACGAATGATACTGTAGAAAAGATAGGTTTTCAGCAATCCATAAAGATGGTTACATTTCCCAGAGTATGTGTATTCAACTAACTCCACATTTAACCGAAGTCTCGTAATTATAATGTATAGGTAACATGTACAATCAAGAGTTTCTGATTAAATAATATACCTTCTTTTCTGGAGCCACGAAATCGCTTCCACTACAGCACCTGATAAACAAAATTAAAGTAGCGAAGCTCCAACAGGTGGCAGCTAGTATCGCTGATATCTGAAAAAAAAAAGACAAATCTTAATATTTTGTTTTTTTATTTACACTGATGTCATAGTTACTTTTGTCCAAGTACTCTGAAATGTAATCCATTATAATATTTCTTTAGAATGTTCAAAGATGATCAGCAATTGACTAAAAACGTGTAATTTACATCTAAAATTACTTTCGTAAACATCTTTTACTTCTGACACATTATAGGAAATTTACAAACCTACACACGGTTTTCCTTATATGACGTGTCAAGGTCGTCGCGAGAACAAGATTGAGCATTTTGACGAGTAAACAAATCAGATTCTCTTCCTGCTTTCTACCCCTAACTATAGACATTATACAAGTCATTAGGCGGTTAAATATAGAGATCTACAAAGAAAAATAACTTATCAAGCCTCACCCATTTCAAAGGTAAGGTATGGGCGATAATAGAAGCTTTTTGGGCCTATATTATAATTAACAACCAGCTCTATACTTTACATATGGCTGTATATGAACAAATCTATTCCATATAACTTCGAGCTACCCCTTCTCATTATATTTTGATGTTTATGTTTCAGAATATATTTAAAATACCTAGGACTTAAAATAGGATAAAATACAAACATAGGAACAGGTTACTGCTTATATAGATGAGGGTAAGAGTGTATCAGGATTTTCAGAAAGCATTTGACAAGGTACCACATAAAAGGCTTATTAAACAATTGTCTCTATAGGTGTGGGAGACAAGTTAGCTAACTGGATAGAAGAGTGGCTGGATGGAAAAAAGCAGATGGGTCTTATAAATGGGGTTCGGTCAAACTGGATTAATGTCACAAGTGGGGTAGCTCACGGCTCAGTCCTAGGAACTTTGCTCTTACATCAACGACGTAGATGAAGGAATGGTCAGTAAATTACTTAAATTTGCTGACGATATTAAGATCTTAGGTGTTGTTAGCTGTGAAGAGGATGTTGCTGCTTTACAAAAGCATTTAAATCATTTAGTGAGTGGCAAATGGTTTTTAATTATAATAAATGCTGGGTGTTATCATAATTTAAAATAACCTTAACACTGGCAAATACTTTCTGAAAATCCAGATACGCCAAATCTACACCATTACACTCATCTACATAAGCAGTAACCTTTTCAATAAACGTCAAAAAATTTGTAAGGCAAGATTTTCTCTAAGTAGAACTATGTTGACTATCCATTAAAATCCTTAACTTTGTTAAATGACTTGGCAAAGCATCTTATATCAGACCTCCCAGAACTTTTCCCACGACTGATACAAGACTAATAGGCCTATAATTACTGGGTGATAATATAGTGGAGCTGGTAATTATTGACTTCAATGCTCTGTTATCATAATAATTCGATAAAGTTAACTTACACTTACAAAATGTTCCTAATAATTTAACATAAAGTGATTTAAAGGTATACAGATGGGTATTTAAGTATTTTTACCATACCTTGTCAGAAGCCACCTGCTGGTTTGTTTACTTGTCATAATAAAGGCAGTCAATACAGCCGCCGAACCTTATTTCCTGTACTGAGAGGTTCGTCCATGTGACTTTACTACACCAACTTTTTATTTTTATTTTTTTTAATTTTGTGGTGAACTTTTGTTACTTACCTCTGATACAATGTAAAAGTTGTAGAAATCAGCTAGTTGTGGGTAGTTTTTCCACGTGACTTGTTGAGCGTTGTAACAACTGTAGAGGAGATATATAAAAATAATCAGTTACTTACATGGTATAACTAAAATAACAGATTTTGAAGTTATTCGGGATTGACTTCAACTGTCTATGTGTTTAGGTACATACTGTCGCGTATCTGCTTGTTTGTTAATTTTCGGTATAAATTCTTTCCGAGGAACTTCAGCGATACAAGTCCTTTCTTAATTAAACCAGTTCATGTGTTCCTCGATACAACTTTGTAATACACAGAATTTCCAATCAGTACATTAAACTTAACTACTTTTATAACACACGCTATAAATCACAGTGATTCACACACTTTACTTATGGTGCCTACTGTTCGCTTGGCTCAATTATCTATATCTTCAATCCGCTAGTTTTTCTCGCCAGGCTTATATACTAAAAAAGAAGGCGTCTAGTAAACACTCGGACATTCGCGGGATTCCTCGATAATTGGAGAAACTCCAGCGCGCATGCTCCCAGGGTCACGCGACTTCCGCTGTCGTAACAATACTAACATGCAGAAGCATCATCGTGCTCCAACAATAAATTATCTTGACTATAATAATACCACCACCTAGAATAAAGTATCAACTTCTTTTACGGAAGAAATACGTATTCTATTTTCTAATATGTATTTCTCTAACTTTGAGAAAATTATATTTTCATTGTATTTAATTACTTGTAATTATATAGAATTCAGAACCAGAAAGTAGAAAACCGTGCACCTTTATGTATTATCAGTATGGAAGATTAAGGTTGGTGAGCCACAAAGAACAAGGTTAAAGCAAACACATGCAGTCTCGTAATAACAATAAAAACAACACGGAATAATAAATATAATACATTCCAACAAACAGTTCGAGTCCCTGATGAAATTTTATATAAGCCCTCAGAGAGGTAAAAACTCAAATTGCACATATCGCCCTCTACACTGAGTGGGTAATTTATTATTAATACAAATAAGTGTAATTTCACTAATGAAAGTGAACGCTTACTCCTTCACAAAATGGTAAAGTAGTTTTTTTAATATTAGATAAATCAATGACTGACTATTAACTATGACTTGTAAAGTGTTTATACTCTATATGTTTATAAGTTAATTAACACTTGCTAGTTTTAAATTAACAAAAATACGTATAACTAGTTATAAAGAACACATTTTTTTGGTATATTCAGGCAAACTTAACACGTGTTCGATCTATCGGATGTGTCCGCTATAAATACTCTGAGAACAACAAGGTAACTGGAAATAAGATCAATTTAGTTTTCTCGACCACGTGTTATGTGAAACCTGCAAGTAGTCAAAGCAAATAATAAATTTTGAATAAATATCATAATACAAAAAGAAACACGTGGTACACTTATAAAATAAATATCACACTCTCACCAAAGACAAGTAACGTCCACGTTCACTTCTTACTATCACCTGTGACGATTCGTATTCATACAGAAATTATATAACTCCAGCTTGTTGTCGACTTAAGAAGGGTTAGTTAAGATATACTTATAATCTGTTCAACTGAAACGTAAAGTTGTACCCCAAACCCCAATAGTCCATTTGTCAGCACATCTAATTTCATGTGAATTCTGTCGGCATAATTTTTATCAGTTTTTTTTTGGGGGGAGGGATACATTTCTTGTTGCGACGGATTTTGGTAAACAACGAAAGTGCTTAGAATTCGGCAAAAGGTGAGAAAATTCTTAATTGGATCATTTGAATATAATGTGTTAATAGAGCCAAAAGAAAAACATAACAAATTCGGACCGCTATCCATGCCCCAGCAACGCCCATTTTCTCGGAAAGTTTCAGTAATGAACCCCCCCCCCCAAAAAAAAAATAATAATAAGGATTTCGCTTCACCCCTGACAAGATGCTTCACAACATTGTGAAAAAAAAACTGCCAACGGCAACTAAAACCACTTTCACATGTGGGACTAGTAAAAAGTATAGAACAGCTTCCTGGCAAATAACCAACTTCTTACCGCTTGATGACTACGCCCTATAAGAGAGTCATATAATCTTAATATCAATCATCTTACGTCTTTATACAATCCGTTTTAACGTTTATTAAAATATAAGACGTCAATCACGAAAGTTTTATAAAACACTGATATATACTGCAACTAGCAAAAGAAGTCAAACATTATAATTATAATAATCTATGTCTCACAAAACAAACTACGTCTTATAAAATAAGTGTAACGATCTATATCGTAAAAAATAATATCAGTGAATCTCCATATTACAGTGCAACAAAATAAGAAGAGAACAAACTATATCCCACAAAGCAATAATAAAACAATATTTACCTCACAATACAACAATATCAGAACAGAATAATATACTTTCCACAAAACAATCTTTACCACACAATACAACAACATCAGAACAATATAAACAGTATCAGAATAATAAAACAACTCAACACACCAGGCTAAAATTGCTGCCTTCACAGCGACTGCTATTCATTAATATTCATTGGTATTGTTTAAAAAAGAAAAAGAGGGGAAACAAGTAATATAAACAATTTTAAAAAATAAGGATGATGTAGAGATGGAAATACCAAAAAGTACAGAAAAAAGGTAGGGATGAAAACACAAAACCTTTCAAAAATCCCCACATAAGTAGCCACCGAGTCAATGTTACAAGCTTATGGAAATTAGCCATTGTAAGACTTTATAGTAGTATTTAGTTTAAATGCTTTTATTAAAACCTGAATTCGTATAAGTTAAATGAGTTCAACATATAGTTGTAGATAAAGTTTTCTTGGTAAATATTTGGCTACTTATGTAGGAATTTTTACTATGGTTTTGTTGTATTCTATCCCCACCTTCGTTTCTGTAGTTTTTGGCTAT